GGGTTATTGGTTGTGTCTCTGGTCTCCTATGTAGTTAACTGCAGTTCGAGTCTCGGACCTGGTGGCTTAAAACACACTGGGTACATGTGTATGTGTGCCCAAAATCACAAGAGAAGAATGGAGGAGAAGGGACTGTAGCATGGTCATCCCCCAGGGGAGTGATTTCTCACTTTCTATCTCTGTCTCTCTCTCTCTCTCCAGTGAGTGCACCCACCCTAAAACAAAAACCTCTTAAAAGAGAGAGATAAAAGAAAAGTTTCAGAGGTGTGGTCCCATAGCCTAGTAGTTAAAGGAGTCAGATCCCACATAGTTGACTGCAGTTCAAATCCTGGCTCTGGTGGCTTGAAAAATATGCCCAGGCATATGTGCATGTATATCCAAAATCTTGACAGGAGAACTGGAGAAGAGACTACAGCATTTGCAGATGGCAAAAAAAAAAAAAAAAAAAACTTAAAAAAAAAAAGGAAATATGCATGTCATTATTGCTGTTTAGAAAGACAGGAGAGAACAGAAGCTAGGAAGAGGGAAATCAAAATTTAACATTTACTGGGCATCTTTTATATGCCAGGCCATGGTAGGGGCTTCACGTTCAAATATTCTAAGTCTTGTCAAGAGAATGTCAGTTTTCACAGACCAGAATACTGAGGTCCATAAAGGTGAAATGACTTGCCAGTAGTTTTACAACAGGTAAGTGACTGAAATGAAAAAACATTCAAGTTTGTCTGCCTTGCTTTCTCTGTTATCTTGTACCTACAAGGGAACTTTCAAAAGTTTAAGGAAAAATCTCTGTCTCTGTCTGTCTGGCGAGCGCACGCGCCCTACAGTGAAAATCTCTCAAAAAAAAAAAAAAGTTTAAAGAAAAATAAAAGTATGAGTTTATTTTGGTGCAAAAAATTTTTTTAAATCTGTGGATAACCCTTTTCATAATATGTATTTCCACAAACTTTTTGAGGACCTCACATGTACTCTGAGAGCATTTGGAAAGACAATGTTAGAATGTGCAGGAAACTAAAATCCTGGGCTGTTCTGTCCCACCCAGGACATGGACTGTTCTTTAGAATGAGGCAGTGGTGACATGGTAAAAGGAAGGAGAAACCCAGCAGATGCTAAAGTTTGCTTTATCTTGAGATGTAACCATAGAAGAAGAGATGCTTGACCTTATGATGGATTTCAAATGTCAAAGGAGATCAATTCTAAATAAGGAGGTTCTAACCAAAATCCACTTGGCATGGGAATAGAACAGATGGAAAGAGGAAGAAGGAAAGAAGTCCTGGATTCTGGGCCCATTGTCAGCATTTTCTTGATGTAGGACTTTGACACAGCAGTTTATCTCCCTAAGCCCACTGTTTCTCTTTTAGACGTAATGAAGGCTGTGAGTTTGACAATGATAGAAGTGGCAGCTGTTAATCTCTCAGAAGTTTCTGACAGATATGTCCTTGTTCTATAAATTGCCATGCCAATGTGAGCAAGTGATTCTTTTGCTAGTGACTCTTCTTAGGTGTGTTCTGTCCGCTGGCTTGATCAAGATGAAAGGTGTAAGTGAACATTAGTTTATGATGGAACCTCTTCCAATAGGTCTCTACTGGGGAAAGTTTGCAGTAAAATAAATGATCATGTTTCATTTGAATGATCATTTCACTTCATCACGTTTCAAGAGTGGTCCCTCTCCAAGATGCCAAAGAGTTACTTTTTCCTTCCACTAGTATGTTCTTATTTAAACAAAATGTTCAGGAGCATCTCCTGTACAGAGGATCATACAGATGCCTTTCTTGGGGTTTTGAAATCTGAAGTCTGAGTCTATTTCTTCAGAGAGATCCATTTATGACAAAAGTGTTTATCTATCTTAAGTGTCCATAAGAATCATGTGAAGATCACCAGAGATTCTTTCACTGGTACAGGGGTAAAGTCCATAAACTTGCCTTTCCAATGAGCTCCCAAGTGAGGAAGAAGGATTGAGCTAATGAAATGGCTACAGGATGAGAGGTACTGCATTAGACTCAAAGCAGGAACATGTTTTGTCCAAGTTCAGCCTATTCAATGATTCTGGGATCTTTTGTAATGCCGATTCAGGGAATGTATCTCTCTCTGGTCTGATCCATTAGATTTCCATTATGGCTGTAGAACCTTCATGTTTAAAGTTCCCCAGGTGATCTTGACACAGATGATCTGGAAGCATATGCTAAGAATCTCTGACCTCACCTCTGAAATCTAAGACTGCCAGGAAGCCAGCAGCTACACTTACATGGTTCCGTATCTATAGCACCTACATTTCATTGGGACTCAAAGCAAATGCCAAGAACTTCTGTGAATGCGTTCATGAGGAAATCTTCACTCTTTCTTTCCATGACCTAGAGCTGATTACCTTCCTACTTAAAGCACTGATTTCTTCAGGCTGGCCAGTCTCCAGAGTGCAGCAGTCAAGGTTTTCCAAAGCCAGACCCAGGCCACTATTTCAAATCTTATCTCTAGCTACAATTTGACATGCATCTTATGCTTCAGCCAATCCATAAACTGCTACACATTTCCAAACAAGAGCTTTCAATATTGTTTCCCCAGAATACATAGAGGAAATGTCCAGCTGCTTGCTTATGTACTTACCGTGGAAGGAGGGACTAACGGCAGCTTCCTGAAGGTTGCACCTGAAACCAGCTTTTAAACAGTAGCATGATCAAGGTAGGAGGAGATGGAGTTCAGTGAATGAGCACCCATCTCTGCTGGAGCCAACAGCCAAGAAAACATGGTGGAAAAAGTCAGCCTGAAACAGGCGGCCATGGGGTAATAACTAATGAGACTGGAAGGAAGGCTGAAACTAAGTGAGAGTCTTAAATTGTTGCCTACAGGTGGAAAAGTTATTAACCATACTTTAACATGAGTCAAGTATCAGCATACAAACTCAGTCTTTGCCATGTACAAACTGACCTAAAATCCAGTGATGAAAGAAAGATGAAACCTCAATACGCCATCCACAGGGGAAAGGGAGATGGAAAATTATTTAAAGGATAATCAATGTAAAAATTTTAAAAATAACCTGTAGGGGCCAGCAGATGGCATAGGGTTACATTGCTGGACTTCCACGTGGCCAACCATGGTTCAAGTTGAAAATCATACTGGGCACATGTGTGTGCATGCCAATTATCACAGGAGGAAAATGGAGAAGGGATTGTGGTGTAGTCCTCCCCGCTAGGGAGTGATTTCTCACTTTCCCTCTCACTGTCTCTGTTTTTCTCTCTCTCTGATGAGTGCACATGCACTGAGGAAAAAAAACTCTTGAAAAATAATAACATATATAAAAACCTGTATCTTGATTTAATTTCATGATTACCAAGTGTCCCTTTCAGTCATTTCAGAGGTGGTTATTTTGACACCTCTTATGGTACAATTCTCTCTTATGGTACAATCCAGGCTTGGCTCATTGGATGCAGCACATACAAGTAGAAAGAAGTTACAAGGAAAAGGACTGAATGGAGATCTTTTAAGCACTGTGGTTCACTCCTCCCTGTTGAGCAAATTCAGGCAGTGATGTCTTCAAACTAATAATAATTTTAATAAAGCAATTACAGGGTCACCTAGTGGTGTGGTGGTTAAGGCAGCTAAATATCACATGGCTGACTATACAGTTCAAGGTCCGAACCCTGCGACTTGAATCACCATAGACATGTGTGCATGCATACCCAAAATCCCAAAAGGAGAAGGGATTTCAGAGTGGCCATCCTCCCAGGGGTGATTTCTCTTCCTCCTGCCTACCCCCCTCAATCCCTCTCCAATGAGTCCATGTGCTTTATAGAAAACTAGGATATATATAAAGATATAGATAGGGGTTCTAGTTACAACTACATTGGAGCATTCTGTCAATCAAAGAATAGACCACAATTATCAGAATCTAAAAGATTCAGCCTTAATTGTGATGTATTTCTCCTGAGACTGGAGGAAATATTACCTCATGGTTTCATGTATCATGAATAAATTAGAATGAGTCTGATAAAAATAAAATATAGGTCCTCCTGTCACTGAGATCAGAATGAGATTCATACATGAACAAACTTTTTTGGGGGGAGGGGCGGGTATAGCAAGGCAAGGAGTTAATTGAGGTATAGGGAAGGAAAAACAGAATTATCAAGAAGGGATGGGTCTCAGAAAATGGGAAGAACTGAGATAAGGGGTTTTTAACTGGGTTAGAGAGGACTCGCTAGAGCTTGGTCTAGGTAAGGCTCGTGCGTGCGTTCCCCTCATGGTGGGGAGGGGCACATGCTAGATGGGTCCATGTATTCTCCTAATTTTGGAGTGAGAAGAAAGTCAGGAGATTCTTTGTCTAGAGGCTCTGGACCATAAAAACCATTATCTTCTCCCCAGAATATGGTGGAGCCCATCAAACAAGAGATCTCATAGTTCTTTGACAAGTTATGTTTTTTTCTCGTTTCCTTCTAAAGAAGTTGCAAAAGTTAACCCTTATATACTTATCTTATTTTATATATATAAATAGGACTTTTTATTTGTCACTATTAAAAGTCTGAACTTTAAACAGATTCTTGGACTTGGTGGTTCATATCCATCAGCTCATTCAACTTTGGCACCATTAGTTTTTCCAGAGCTACTACCTTCACCATGAAGCTCCATGAGTTTTTCCAATTCAAACTTGGGCTTCAGCATTTTTATTTTTCAGACGAAGACATCATGGAGAGGGTAGATGAATTGGCAAGCCTTTTC